CAACTACATATAGTATGACTGCAGTAATCTTACTCAAATCTTTTTTGCTGAGACATATGAAGTTAAGGTCATTAATTTTGCATCGTTGTATTTGATGGCAGCTTTACCATCAATTCAAATGAGTTGTTTGGAAAGAATTAGGGTTCTCCAGTGTTAAACTTATTTCTTTTGTAGTTACCAAGTTAAGGTTTGGGGTCCCCCCCCTTTTATGTATTTGCCTGATTGCTTCAATGTAAGTTTTGGAAATGCACAGAAAATAAAGGCCACAGACTAGAATACGGAACTCCATCTAAACTTCAGTGACATTAAGTTTTGATGATCTGTTACTTAAAAGGCAATCAGAGCTGTTACATTTAATCCGTAAGAGAGATTTGCAGTTAAAGTGTTGCAAAACTCAATTAGCGAATTGCTCTCCCTCTTGAGTGCACACAGTCCATTTGCATTAGTATTCAGGGGCTTGGACATAATATATATTAAAACCCCCATAAGTATATATTTTTATCTTTATATTTAGCATTCATATTTCATAAATAAGCATAAAAATATAAAATATATCCACGCATGTGATTATGATAATCAGTGAGAGAAACGCAATGGGTTTAAGTGCTTCTCGGAGTCCCCAAATGAGGCTGAGCATTGCTTCCCTGGAGAAAGCTACTTCGGTCAAACCTACACCAAATTATGCAGCTGAAACTGAAGTAGCCAAGACTGACTACTTTCATAATGTTCTGAACTCCCACCTCTGTTGCAAAGACCTGATCAAGACACACTCTAAAACACCTTTCTGAGCTTGTCTATGATTTAGGCACCACAGGGTTCAGGACCACTTCTCATGGAAGGTTTCACTAGGACTGGTAGGCATTGCTAATTTTAGATCCAAGACAAGGTGCTGATCATTCTCAATTTCAAATGATTTTCACAAGACACATCATGCTCCACACCTTGGAAAATCGATTCTATGAGTGTTATCACTGCAACTCATGGAAAAAGGCTGCTCTCGTGACTAAGGCAGGCAGAAATCAGTCTCTTGCCTAGAGTCAGATGCTTTAAAATCTATCGGTTGGTAACTGACCTGCTTCAGAAATACTTTTTCCCTTTTCAGCTTGCACTTACTACTCCAGATACCATCAGTACCCAATGTATTTTGGGAACAAAATGCTATTAATGTAGCTGAAATGCCACTGAGTTGATGTTATTTACTTGGTTGACAAAATGAGAAATGTGCTGACCAGATTCTAGGACAAAGGGGTCTATCTGAGAGGAAAATAAATAAATATATTTATACACAGACAGTTGAAATCTCAAATTGGACTTTATTTTGTTCTCTGTCTGTCTACTGCTGAAGGAGTTATGTTCAGAAAGCTCTGAAGTGAGCCACCTTTTCTATGGCAACAACACTAAGAAAAATGTTGAGTTTCCATGATCTAATTTAATTCTATTGATGTGATCTTATGGTAGCAATGATGCTCAAATGTTCCAAGCTCAAATTGCCTTAGCATTTGCCTCCCACTGAAAGAATTTAGGTTTTATTATTATATACTCATAGTTGAAAGACTCTTATGATACCACTCAGCGTATACTGTAAGCATACAATCATCAGTATTAATAGTAGGTCAGGTTTTAATAATATTAAAATGGAAACAGAATGGAAAAGAAGCACTGCTAAGATATACAGTATCTCACGGTTATGGGGCCAGGGGCGGGAGGGGATATGCTATAAAATACCTGTTTATACTATGAAGCACGAACAGTTTCTGTTACAGAACACGTACAATAGCAACTTAGATATGTTCAGCTCCGAGAACTTAAAGTATGTGTTCACATTTTCTTCTTACTCATAAACAGTATTTCTTCCCCTTTAAAGTCTCTGAAGTTTTGGCAATGAAACGATCTGCATGTATCAAGAGTCAAGTGGGTGCGTTCCAGGCCCTGAATTTCATTAGGTGCCAAAAAAAATTCTGTAGGGCACTTAGGTCTTCCAAAAGGAAGATTTAAAAAGATGAAATCTGCAAATGTGCAAGAGGAAACAGAAAGAAAATTCAGGAAGTACTTTAAGGGGTGACAGCCCTAAATCTATATCCATGGCTGACTGTGTGTTCTTACTTGGAATGCTTCGGTATCCCGCAGAAAGAATATACTTTTTCCAGAGAAGACAATGCATCATATGTTAACAGTGATGCAAATATAGTGTCCAGGGATCGATTAAATGTATTTGATAAAAGAGCAATATTATGGGAAAAATCCTGAAGCTGACAAATGACAAAAAGTGAATTTAAATCCCACTGTGGGACTATTTCTCCCTTTATAGCTCTGGTTTGTACCTCAGTAGCAGGAGCTGATGGGAGTGACTAAAGTATATTGAAAAAGCAGAGTGACTTCATCTAAGGAGGATTCTACCGCACCTCACAGGGATGAAAACTTTTTATTTCTAATGAAAGGTGTAAAGGGAGCAGCTGCCTCTATACAGGGACACTTCCTATTAAAACCAGTTGCGCTTGTTAAGCAGGCACATGCACTTGTTATTGATTTCTTAATATTGAAGAAACTGTCCAAAGTTAGTTTCTTGGCTAGCAGCCTGCCCAGTTAACAAACTGCTCACCTGGATAATTTAAGAACCAAGTTACATGAAATACTTCGATCTCCGAGGACACTGAAGCGCCTCAGCTTACAACGAGGTATGGAAATCAAAGTTCTCCAGAGCCAGGATGCAAGTTTTGAAGAAAGAAGGGAGTTATTAAATAGCCTAGAAGGAAGCTAGCAGAGACCTGTGCTCATTCTGTAAGTAGCAAGGTGGAACAATAAGGCTTAATAGATAAGAACCTTAGACTAGAATATCATGTAAGAATCACTTTCCTTCCTAAGGTTCTTCTGTCCCAACTATCCATACAATTAGGTTGAGAGGTGACAACTTTAGAGAGCTTCTGGGTTGTGATGTTATCAGATTTTATGGGTGTGAACAACGATAATTTCACAGGTATGCAAAATTCTGACTTCTAGGTGCTTTATCATTTGCTTGAAGGCAGGTAAAATGCACACTAGGGTCATTTTTCAGTCTTCTCTATTTATTATTTACTTATATTTACTGAGAAGTCTATTGTGAAGTCTCTCCTTGTTCACAGCAGTCTGGTATTGAATGTAGAGAAGGAACATCATTCATACATAAGTACTGTCTATGTCTCTTCATCCTTATTGCAGAGAAACTCTTGAAGAATTTCCAAGAGAAGATGAGTGAAGTTAAGACGATTCTTTTTCCATAGCTTTGGTAGTTATCAGTTCTATTCTTTAATTGAAACTGAAGTGAGCAGCTGTTAGCTTCCTTCCTATTAAGCACTAATGTGGTAGATTTGAAACAATAAACAGTTAATGTTATTTGATTTCTTACAATGAGCACCCCCCAAAACACATCTGGCTGTGATACCCAGAGCCACAAGTGATGAGCCATTTATGTGATCAAGTTGGCTGTTTAGAGGTGTCAGCCTTTATGAAAGTTGTATGAGTGTTTATTCCTACTTTCAGAGGAAAGAGACAGACTCGTTTGCATGAAGCAGAGTGTGTGCGTTTGTGCCTGTCTGAAAGAGGAAGAGGGAGGGAGAACGAGGGTATAGACTTTGATACCTGTTGGCAACACAAGCAGGTTTGTCTAACGCCGTTAGATGCCAGGTTGGATTGATTCCACTCTATTTGGTCTGGTACTAAATGCAAACTGTTTGAATTGAGAGAAATTCAAGACATGACTGAACAGCAATGAACCGCAAAGGAATTCCTGCCTGTGTTAAGTAGTGTCACCTTCATGGCGGTAGGCAGAGTCTAAATAAGGATTTGAATTAATCTCTTTTATATTACCCACCTAGAAGCTGCCATAAGCTTTCTGTGCTGAAGCTTTGCAGTGCCTCCCAGGCTCCCCAGCCAAGCACCGTGTTCAGGTCTGATACTGTCTAGCAGGGACGCTGTCTGGCAGCTCAGGACTCCCGATTGGGATGCTGCTACCCAGCAGATATTGTAGCCGAGCAGAATATAAGGATGTGTTACTCCTCTGCCTTCCTCAAAGCAAAGATAAAGCATTTAGTGAACAGCCAGCTTCAGGGGGCCTCAGACTCCTGCATTTCTTCTCTAGGAGCCTTGGCAGGAAGGAACTAACAAGTGACTGAAGCTAAGGAGCTTTCTCCCTCTCTCAAGTTTCAGCTGGGTGCATTGTCTGTTTAGTCAACCAAAGAAAGGGAAGGAAAACAACTTGTGGGACAGGGATGACTCCTGGCTAGTTATGGCTAAAGATTCATTCCCATTTCAGCTTTTAAGAGGAAAAGCAGTATTTCTGGGATGCTTTCCTCCCTGAAAGTGGGGAAGTAAGCTATGAAGCCATTCCTATTTATTTACCTACTTAGGGGGTGCAAAGCTTTGGGAGGAGGGAAGGTGGTGATAAATCAGGGGGATTTCCCCCCCTCATGGTTCTTCCAGCCTCCTCCTCCCTCATTTACATATCTGGCTGGTGGGTGATTTTTATTCTCAGCACGAAAACTGCAATCTATTTCAATGCATGAATGCAGCCCTGCATCTATTCAACACAGTAAAATAGCCCAGAGACTTATTGTACTAAATAAGAAAACAAGGAAAAGAAACGGGTTCACCAGCCTTGGAAGCAACCCTCTGTGATCCAAAGTCTTCCTGATCCTTCAAAGGGGGGTGATGGAGGGAAGGAAAAATAAGCCACCACGAAAAAAACAAACGAGAGGAGAAATACAATTACCACCACTCCTCCTCCCGAGGGAATAATAATGAAAAAAAATCCTAACTAGCATCCCACGACATTTTCATTATCGGGAATTTCAAAACATCCGACTTAATGAGGCACCACAGTTCAGCCTAATACCGCACCTATGGACGAGGAAGGCACTCGCACAGCGCACCTTGCACGCACGCAGAGTCCAAGTCAAAGAGAAACCCACAGAGCGAGAGCCCTCTGCCAGCCAGCCGCAAATTGTAGGAATAAAATGAATACTCACTCTTTCAAGGACCAAGGGAGACGCTCGCCCACAGCCACTTCACGCGCGGATTGAAAGGGTGAGGAAAAAAACATCAGCCAGTCCCTGGGAACAGGCAGGATTCTCCAGATTTTCTTCTCATGCTTTCCGCGGCTGCTGGTGCTGGAGGAGACGCTGGTTGCTGGGCTTCCCGGGTCTCTGTGCCTGCATGCTGGAGCGCAGTTAGTAATTTCTCCCTTCGCACAAGCCAGAGGCAGCAGCACGTCTCCAGGAAAGCAGGGATATTCCAAATAAATCCGCTAATTCCGGGGCTGAGCGCGCTCTCGTGCCTGCCTGCCTGCCAAACGGAACTGTGAAGCGATGTGGAAAAGTGAGCCGGGAGCCTCCCCTGACAGCTCTTATTGGGCTGATCTCGGAGGCAGGTCTAGCGCTGGGAAATTCGTGTAAGCAGTTTGGGGTGGTGGTTTTCCCCCTCCCTCTCCCTCGCACCCCTCACCCCGCCTTC